ATCTATGTTTATAATTTTTTTATTCTACACATTCCGTTAAATCTCCGAATGGTAAAAAAAGTTATATGTACACTCTTATCGCACTTTGAAAAAAAATTGAAATACTTTCAATTTATTACTTTTATTACTGATTTTTTTTTAAAACGAAAATCGATTTCTTATAAGATGCATAGTATAAATCCATGCATGTTTTAATCAGTACAGGTATTTAATGATCTATAATTTGTGTTATTCTGTACTTTGACGTGCTAGAGTATTACTTATTATATGTTTTAACACAGTGGACAATGTTTATGTTTTAGCGCCTGCGCAATGCTGCGTTGTCAAGGACTTAGTCCTGCGACTAAGCGTATCGTTTACGACTAGACTTACGCCACTTGGTGAAATGCAAATTACGCCCGACTAAATTTTGGCGTAAGCCCCGGAAGTACGCCTAAGTTAAGGCTTAAATCTACGACTTTTGATGAAACGGGCCCCTGGAGACGGAATTTTACGACTTTTTTAGGACAACTTAAACCATAAAAAATTAATTTGCAAAAAAATCCTATCATTCAATATCTGAAAATTTACGTCGAAGTTCAAGGTCGTCATTGTATTGATGTAAAAATATTGATTGGTGAAGCTGACCTAAATATTGCTCGGGGCAAAGTTAAACGAGTCATGATCATGAGAAAAACGTGTCATGTTTACATTTCTCAAGTACGGGAAAACCCAACTATGACGTAACAAATTCCTGAAATAAGCGAAATAAGACAAACCCACAGAACATTTCCGTCAACAACCATGTAAAAATATTTTTTGCGTTCTGAAATTTACAAAATACCCTACCATGTACATATTATGGCCCGTTTTTATGATTTTTTTACCACCCGTTTTTACCGTGTATGATCTTACTGAACTAAGAGATCCACTATGACGTCAAAGACGCACTGGACGCACACAGTAGGGAAACGGCAGAGTGGATTAATCTATTCTGTAATTTGATAATATTTGCAAGAAATTTTGAATGTTTTCAAATATTTTTATACTAGATGGTGAACGCAAACAAACAGTCAAAAATTTTATACAAGTACTGTGGTTTCAATCTCGTTTCGTACACATTTTATCAGGGATTATGACGTAAATCAACTTAGTCACGTGACCATACATCCTTCATCCCCTTAAAACTGGGGTCGGCCATTTTGGCCCTACCCTGGCCTCCGGGGTCATGATTTGAACACACTTGAATCTACACTACCTTAGGATGATTTCACATGAGTATCCTGGCCCAGTGGTTCTTGATTTTTTTTTTTTAAAAATGCTATTAATTTTTTTCTCTAATTCATAATTGTCTCCCCTTGGAAAATGGCGTGGCCCTTCATTTGAACAAACTTGAATCCCCTTTACCCAAGGATACTTTGTAGCAAGTTTGGTTGAAATTGGCAGTGGATCTTGAGAAGAAGATGGAAATTTGAAAAGTTTACGACGACGACAACAACGACGACAAAGAGTACAGCGACAGACAACGGACAAATTTTGATCATTTGAGCCTTTGATCAGGTCAGCTAAAAATATTAGGAATAAAAAGAAATACTTATTAAGCTTTATAACTGTCATTGAATGAATGAATGAAAAAAAGTATACCACAGTTTACTCTCTTCCTTAAAACAATGCCTCTTCTTACATCTATTATAAGATGATATCGAGTTTAAAATATTGATGCCTGAACTCATCGTGTTATAATCGGACTCCAGTGGGAAACATTTGGGCATTTAAATAGTAATATTATACTTTCATGTAAATTATTTGAATCTGAAACATTTATTAATAAGAGGCCCTGGACCACATCGCTCACTTGAGCAATTGACTAGGAAAAAGCACATATCAGATCAGAACTCAAAGTTTACTGGGAGGAGTGGTGGTGGTGGGGGAGATGGGGCTTGAATTTTAACTCCCCAGGGGGTCATGATTTGAGCAAACTAGAATCTACACAACCTGAGGATGATTCCCTATAAATATAACTAAGCATAGCCTTGAAGTACTTGAAAAGAAGACTTTAAAAGGTTTTCTTATAAAGTCCTGTGTAAAAACTATCGGTCATTTTACTCCCCCCCCTACCCTACCCCCGGGGATCATGATTTGAACAAACTTGATTCTACACTACCTGAGGATGATTCCACATGAGTTTCATCTTTCCTGGCCCAGTGGTTCTTGAAAAGATTTTCAAAAATGTTTCCTATATATTCCTATGTAAAATTTTGATCGGCTATTTTGCCCCCCCCCCTCCCCCCGGGATCATGATTTGAAGAAACTTGAATCTACACTACCTGATGGTAATTCCACATGAGTTTCTTATTTCTTGTCCAAATGGTTCTTGAAAGGATTTCAAAAGATTTTTCCAATATATTTATACGTAAAACTTTGATCGGCTATATTGGCCGCATCCTACCCCCTGGTGTCATGATTTGAACAAACTTGAATTTACACAACCTGAGGATGATTTCACATGAGTTTCATCTTTCCTGGCCCAGTGGTTCTTGAGAAGAAGATTTTTTCAGATTTTTCCAATGTTTATTTTCCTATGTAAAATTTTGATTGGCCATTTAGGTCCAACCCTACCCCCTGGGGTCATGATTTAAATAAACTTGAATTTACACTACCTGAAGATGATTCCACATGAATGTCATCTTTCCTGGCCCAGTGGTTCTTGAGAAAAAGATTTTTTTTTTAAATGACATTAATTTTTTTCTTATTCTTTGTTATCTCCCTTGGAAATGGCAACAGGTTCTGTTCCAAAAAAGCGACTGCGCAGAATTTATGCGCACACAGTTCACTGTTATATGTTTTTGTATAAAACATTCAATATAATATAATAAATATAGTAGGTAGTTGAGTGTAACATGGAAAATTGTCACCCCTCGAAAACCATTGTTTGCGCCTCGGTTGACAATGGTTTTCTTGGGGTGAAGATGTTCAATGTTACACTAAACTACATGCAATATTTATAAAATATCTAAAGTAGATATATGCCTTATGAAATTCTATATTTAGAATAATTAAAGTGTTTTCGACACTAAAGGGCAAAAAAGCGTCTGATGATTTTACATATTCATATGAAACAATATTCGGCATATATATCAATTACTTAATTTACATCATAAACATGCATAGTAGAAAGCTACAGCAAAAGTTTTCTTTTTCACGTATTCTATTCATATGAATGCAAAAATAGCTCTAAGACAATATCTATCTAACGTCAAATGGGTTTTTTTTTCTAAGTACATACCATTTGGTCTACTTTGTGTGCCACTAAATTGTGTGCCACCACTTTGTGTGCCACTTCTTTGTGTGCCACCACTTTGTGTGCCACTTCTTTGTGTGCCACTTCTTTGTGTGCCACCACTTTGTGTGCCACTTCTTTGTGTGTCACTATTTTGTGTGTCACTACTTTGATCAAACAATAGGGAGGAAAATATCTCTATAAACCACCTCAGCATCTTCGTTGTTTGATATCTACGTACATAAATAATCAAAAGAAAATATTAATAAACAATACTGATAAATATCCGAATATATGACTTTAAGTCAGGATTAATTGTTTCTAATTATAAAATGAAATTTTAAGAATCAAATATTTCTGACATGCATACAAAGTAATTTTTTTTAAATACAATGTATATACAGACATCTTTCACAGCTTGAGTCATGACGGGTTATAACAAATTCGTAACATTGACAACTCGATTTATTAACAAGTTCAAGGATTACTCAATAAATCTTATTCTGAATGCATGATTCAAGTAAAATCGATAGAATTAAAACATCTAATAAAGCATTATAATTCTTCAATATAGACAAGCTTTATTCTTTTACATGATTCATATAAATCATTGTAAATCAGGAAGCTATGGATCAAGTCTCTTTTTTTTCTTCAATCTTTTTGTTCGTCAAAGCCGGCGTGCGTCCACTGAGCGATCTATTGGGAGTGTGGTTGATGGATTCGACCAGGTTTTGTAGAATGTCGAAGTACTTGTATTTCTGGACGTGGGTAAAGTAACGATATAATCGTTTCTTTAAGGTTTGAATCTATCTTTCGGCCAAGTTGGATTTGTTTTCGTCGAGGGCATGAAATATTTTAATTCCTTGCTCTTTCAGATACTATTGGAGGTAACGGTTATAAAATTCCGAACCTTTATTGGTATGAATTGTTTTAGGATGTCTCAGTCCCTTGAATACGTCTTTGAATGTATCGATAACGGATTAAGCTTTCCTATCTTTTAAGGGCCTGATCCAAAGCATGCAAGAACAGACGTCTTCGAACACCAGAAGGAATGCTGTCGTTGTACTCTGAAAGATTTTGGACGTCAGCGAGATCGCCTTCCATTGATGATCTATGACCTGGACGATGACTCTTCTCCTCTTGAAGCCTCGTCGTCGCACTTTCTTTTGAAGTGAATAGTCATCTTGGTTTTGTAGGAATTTTTTTATTCTTTTCATTCCAATGTCATATTTATCCTTTTGTTTCACCACTCTGAAAGGACCTGGCATGACGAGGATCGTTCCATATTTTTTTTAAGAACTCCTCCATGAGTCACTTCCTTTTGACGACTGACGTGTGAATGACATGACTTTTCTTACAACAGACCTTTTAATAAACTCTCTTATAGACAAAGAAACAAAATCAAAAAAAATTCTTTTATTTTGTTTGAACGTCATAAAGCACGTCATTTCAATTGGGACAAAAACATGAAATGTTACACACTTCTATACTAGTACATAAACAAATGTTTGTTTTACTTCTACTTTGAAGCTATGTCAATACGATTCGATTCGGAGCACGTGCTTTACGTGTAATAAATCTGTCATTTCGGATTCTTCTAGGCAGGCAAATCAAGTCCATATTGCGAATTGATCAGCGTAAGCTTTCCAAAAAGTACCTTTTAACAACAAGAGTCTTTCACATTTTACATAATGATAAACATTTTACGTTTTCTTCCTCCAGTGATCGAATTTTTCTTCTGTTACCACCCGTGCGTAGGTACAGTTCTTGGACTATTGAAAAATGTTCTTTGTAAGCGTTGTCCAGAGGTTCCGAGTTTTTCAGGGTCATTCCATGGGGAGAAACAAGTGACTCTGTCTCCGATCTTTGTGTAGATGAATCCAGAATGTGTTACGTCTTTTTTGTTGGGTCCCATCAGATATTTTGGCCAATCCCAAAAACTGGCATAACGCTCGGCAAAATTGACATATTCTGGATACTTACAGTTAGAAACCTCCTTTTTAGGTAGAGGTGGTAGAAGGATGTTTTTCACTGGCATTTGTATCGTGACGTTCTCCTCCGGTTTGCTCTTGGATGAGGAGCAAACTGGACAATACCATGCAAAATTACTATCTGTCTCCCAAGAGTCAAAGGGTTTACATTTTAAAGAGGACGTATTGCCCAAATCAAAAATGGCAGCAGAGTCTGTTTCCATCAGGTTAGGAATTCCATCTAATGTGGAAGTCATGGTGTAGCAGACGTGAAATGATGATCCGATAAAGAGAACTTCTCTATTTATTAGTCTACAACTTATTCATGCGTTTCTTTACTGTTTCTCGTCTATTGAATTCTTTCTAAAGAGAATCGAAGTCATGTCTTTTTTGTCAATTTCACCATCCGTGGGTTTCTTTATGAAAGATCTAGATAGGGTAAGATCATTATTTGGCCCCCGATTTTGTGATTCTTTCAGCACGATCCAACAATTTATCCATAAAAAGCTGTTGTTACACAGCTACCCCTGCCATAAAACAAGTATTGTTTCTAAGATTTAAAATATACAGAGGTCACAGATAGGTCAGAAAATAGGCCAAATTTCAAATTTTCTCATTTTTATGCAAATTTTTATCGATTGTACAGCACATTTTGTTTCAGAAAAGATAGAGCACAAACGTACTTGTCTACCAAAATTTATGCATTTTATTCACTAGTAGCAGATGCAGTTTTGGTGTAAAAATCTCAGATAGACAAGCTTGTGCTTCATGTTCTCCGAAGAGAAATGTGTTTCAAAAATGGTGAAATTCCCTCAGAAATCGAATTCTGGAAAATGTCCTTTCTTTGCAACCTCTAGTGGCTTCCATGTAAGCCTTGAATCTAGATTTGTGTTTGTTTTATAGTAACCAGCTATGTAACCTCTTTACTACAAACTATCACAATTTTACCAGTGTTCTGATTTTTACATCAAATTAGGGGCCATATTGGCCGTTACCCTTATCTTATCCTTTAGATTTTTACACTTAGATATTACATGAGATTGAATGAATTACAATTTCATCTTTCTAAAGATCAAAACGTTTGAAAATTGAAATCTAGTAATTTGTTGTAAATTTCAAATAATCACAAAACGCAAAATATTTTACTGAATTTTGGATTATTTTTTAGAAAGAAAAGCACCCCTTACAAACTATTGTTCTTTACCTTTGGAAGACCAATAACTATTTTATAAAATTTCAACAAATTGATACTTAATATCCTAATGACCTCATTGACCTTATTAATCTAACCTTACCTAATTAAAACATTTCAAATAATTAATGTCACTTGTCATGGCCATGTATTTACAATTTTTGCAACAAAACAACAAAATATGCGCCGATCTTCAAATCGATAAGGCAACATATACACAAACAACTCAAAACTGTAGAAACACCACCTTAAGCCAAAGGACCTGGAAAAAACAGTGCCCTATGGAGGTGGCATTCTCTGCAAAATTCTGCCATTACATGTAATATAGTTTTTATACCATTACTACACACAGTTCTTTAAAGTCACTGGCACATAAATTCTTTGTTCTATCTCGAGTCTTTGTTGATATGCATAGAATCAATCATCTAACGGTCCATGACGCTGAAAATATAAATTAAACAGCAGCAGAAATTTTGATCTACACACATAAAAAAAAATTAAAATACAAATGAAAAGTAACAAGCTCATCAATTTATGTACAATATTTTAACATCAATTAATTGCATAAATAAAATTCTTTTAAGGCCAAGCATTTCTGCAGAAGTCATAACTTGGAGAGGATGCGAGGTTTCTTCAGTTAAACATTTTGGTACCAGCAGCTTTGTTGTTCAACCGAAATAGGAAGTTTACCTTGTGCATTCCCAGTTGTATAAATGTGACAACTAAGGGTTGTGTATCTTTCTACAGTCAATAATTATGTGCTAAGAAAATCCTAGTTTATCTGGATGAGATAAACTTTATTATTTTTAGACAGCAAGGCACCCCTTACAAACTATTGTTCTTTACCATTGGAAGACCAATAACTAAAATTTCTACAAATTGATACTTAATATCATAATGACCCTATTGACCTAACCTTAATAAAAATTACAAATAATTAATGTTTGGCGTACTTGTCATGGCCATTTATTCGCAGTTTTTTAACAAATCTTCAAATCAATATGGCAGCATATACACAAACAACTCAAAGTAGAAGAAACACCACCTTGACCCAATGGACCTGGAAAGAAGAGGCCCAGGGGCCACAGCGCTTACCTGAGCACATCAGGCTTGAATTTACTCACCCCCCTCCAGGTGTTCATAATTTGAACAAACTAGAATCTACACTACCTGAGGATGATACCATATAAATATCACTAATTATAGCTTTGAAGTACTTGAGGGGAAGATTTTAAAAGGTATCCCTATATATCCCTATGTAAAACTTGGGTCCGGCATTTTGGCCCCACCCTAGCTCCGGGGGTCATGATTTGAACAAACTTGAATCTACACTACCTGAGGATGATTCCACATGAGTTTCATCTTTCCTGGTCTGGAGAAGATGATTTTTAAAGATTTTTCCTATATATTCCTACGTTAAACTTGGGTTTGCCATTTTGGCCCCACCCTTGCCCAGGGGGTCATGATTTGAACAAACAACTTGAATCTACACTACCTGAGGATGCTTTCACATGAGTTTCATCTTTCCTGGCCCAGCAGTTCTGGAGAGGAAGATTTTTTAAAAATGCCTTTGGCTCAGGTGAGCTAAAAACAGTGCCCCATTGAGGTCACATTCTCTGCAAAATTCTGCCAAATGAACCACAAATCATATTTTTGTGGGTCGTCCGCCAACAAATCTAGGCGATAAATTTTGCATTCATCAATACAAATACATTTTTATCAATTAAACACTCAACCAGTAGTCGTATACAATTCAATTTTCATATATGCAACTTCACAATTTCAAGGATTGGCCATGACAAGACTTAAAGGTCAAATATAATATTAATGTGAAAATTCATAATTATTCATTATTATCAGCGTCTTGAATAATATTAATAACATTCTGAGGTCCATTTAATTTTTTGTCACCAATTTCCATCATAAATGTCGTTTAAACTTACCTGAATGACAAGTGGATCATTCATTGTAAATCGCTTATCTCCCTTGTTGCATGAATGCATGACGTCATTCGAGACAATATGAAATAGGAAGTGCATACTATATTGACGGGTTTGGAAAATTATTTTTCTCTAAATGCTGTTATGTGCGCTTTTAACTTTAATAATAATTCTGGACAAGATATAAGTATATTTATTTATTGTTTACAAACCTGAATTGAGGAGAATACTAGTATTCATATTATACGGAGAGTCTAAGAGAAATGGTTTTGAGTCCAATAAACATACAAAGCTATAAATATGACCAATATTTTTACATAGATCAGTTTACAGGCACGTGGCCACAGGGGAGGGGATGCAGAGGGGGCCTCCCCATTTTTTCACAAACATTACGCTTACTAGGATTTCGAGTTTCAGCAATTCTCCCCCCCCCTTTGTTGTTTGTCAACTTTTAAAACTTTTCTCTGGTTGTCCCCCTTTCAAAAACGATGAACTACGTGGCTGGTTTAGCCTACAGTTTAATTAAATATAAAATGTCTGACGAATATCTTGGGTTTATTTCAAAATTTAAGTCGCGTTTTAGTTTCTCAGTTTATAGGTTTAAAAGCCCAAATACTGTTTGAAGGGAAAGGTTTAAAAATTTTATTTGAATTATTTTAGTTACAACTGTACTAGACAAGATGAGAGGCACCTGAGATTTTGCCCTCTCTCTCCTATTAAAAATTTAACTAAGACAAAATACATGAATTCCTCGTCTACATACCAATACCATGAATATATACTTTGATATTTTCTGTTTTTGTTAAGTTACAGAGATTGTCCCTTTACAGTATGTGCTTGGTATATATTTACATACATGTATTACGCGGCGCCAAGTCAAAAGAACATGTATCTTGCCGTAGACTACCTCTAGCATGCTGTCAAAGCCATAAAAAGTACTTGTAGTTTTCATAAACCGTAAAGAACAATTTCTAAAACTTGACAGAAAACGGAAGATGATAATAAAATATCGATTTATTGAATCAATTTATTTATTTTTCATTCATATGAAGACGCCATCATTTGCCGGCGGAAAGCTGAAAATTTTGTCCTGTGCTCGGCACTTAGGGCCATTGAGCAAGGAGGGATCTTTTTCTTGGCAGCACCTACAGCTACATGGGACATTGGTTTGTACGGTCTCATCTGAAGGACCGAATCAAATATCAAAGTATTTGTACGATAGACAAGGATTTTTTTTTTTGAAAAGATAGACAAGGAAACCGGAATTATCGTGTCCAAAAATATTTTGGTGGGGGTGGTGGATGTACATCAACCATTTTTCAGGTGCCTGCGCACAAGACGGAAGGTTACCGAGGCTGTTATATACCCATCCGAGAAATCTGCGATAAGAGAGATGTACAATGAATGTACGTAGAGTAGAAAATGGTAGAGAAAAAAACTATCTGTATGTTTTTATCGTGTATATAAATGTTATATTCTTTTAAACAAACTAAATAAATTTTAAGCATACTGTGAGCAAGGGAAGCAGACTGAATATGAAAAGGGGGGGGGGTAATAGAAAAGCCAAAAAGATTCTTGATTAAAAATGTCACCCCCCCCCCAAAAAAAAAAAATGAAAAGGTGTAGTATTTTTTTTATATATAAGAAATACAAGTATAATGATATGCGGGAAAATGACCTTACTGTGACAAAACGGGAAAGGGGTTGCTACTAACCTTTCATGAAAATTTCATTTTTAAATTAAAATTTTAAAAATATGTATATAAAAAAGTCAGGAAGCACCCCCTCACCTATAGTTCGTGCCTGTAGGGCAATTTTCCTCGGATAATATACTTGTACAGCGTTGGTGATTTCATTTCTTGTCAGGATATATAAATGTTAAGTTTAATGTCCGTCTCAGATAATATTTTCTCAAGAATGCTTTTATTTACTTCCATGCAGTTGCACTTTTTTCTATTATAATATTATCAAAAAATAAAACTTCAGTGTTCATGCACACAAGTGATTGTTCCTCCATATTTTACTGTCCACTTCATTTTTTTTCTGCAGTATTTTCATCTTTGACCGGCGTCTTGTCATAGTTACCAAAAGAGCATATAAACTAAATAAGGATGAAGAAATTCAT